AAATGCTTCCCTTTTGTGAATACAGCCATAACAAAATGAAATCAATCAGCCAATGCATATTTACTGAGCACCTCCAGGGTATTCAGCACAGCACTGAGGTCTATTTAGGACCAGTGGGAACAGTAACAGGGACAATCTTAATGTCAAAGAATTTAAAACAACAGCGGTCAAAGACAATTAAGACTTCAAGTCAATCCAATGACTATCTATGAAACTACTGTGCATTATTTAAAATAGTCTCTATGTAAGCTCTGTGGTGGTTACTATGATGAATAAAACCGGTTCCTGCCTTCAAGGAAGTTACAATCTAGAAATAGGGTTTTCAGAAAATAGGGAACATTGGCAAACCAGGAAAACTTTTCTTGAAGAAGCTAGTATTTGATCTGAAGAAGTCAGCTTAACTTTTTAAATTATTTTTAATAAATAAAAATTTTAAACTTCTATGTGACTAAAGAGTATCTATAAAAGGGGTTACTATCCAGAATATATAAAGATTTCTTATTAATAAATAATAAAAAGCCAGAAAATCTCAATAGGAAAATAAAGAAAGAATATGGCAGGCAGTCATACTCAATTATACTTGAATAGTCAAAAGACTACAGAAATTTCCAATAAACACTTGAAAAAAGTACCCAACTTCACTAATAATCAAGAAAAGAAATATAAACAAGGTAAAGATTTTTTTTTAACCCAACCGGTTAGCAAAAGATTTAAAGACTGAGAGTCGAGTATCTGTTAGGAATGTTGCAGAACTTTATGTACTCTCAAAAACAGTTGGTAGAATATAAAATGATACGATTGCAGTTTGCTCTTAACCATCACATTTTTAAATTGCCAGTCCCCTGTGATCCAGTCAATCTACTTCTAACAATCTATCCCAAAGAAACTGCTAAAACTGCATAAAGATGTCCATTTGTTGCACATTGTTTTAATCACAAAACATTTGAAACATCCATCGTGACTGTAGAGGCATGGTTAAAATACATTATGGTGCATCCATTCAATAAAATTCTGTGCAGTGGCTAAAAGGAATGAGGTAGATGTCTGTGCTAACAGAAAGTTCTCTGAGACAGTGGAAAACTCAAGTTGCAAAACAGCATATATTATGTGGTTCCTTTTAAATTAAAATGTGTACATATAAATCTATGAGCATATGTACATTTGTGTGAATATATGAATGCAAGAATGAAAGAATTATCTCACGACTATTAATACTAATTACCTTTGGGGTAAGGAGTAGAATTAGGATGTGTGGGAATTTTACATTTTACTCTCTGTACTATGTGTATCTTAAACAGTTTGCCCAGAGAATATATTCTTGTAGTATTGATGCACTTTTAAAAATTAAAGAAATGAGAGGTATTCAAAACAAAGTAGAATTAATATGATTGACTGTAAATTGAGAAGGATGAGTTTATTTGCATGGGATGGTGAGGCATCTAATCTAACTAGGGTTGATTGTAATGGGAACTCAAAGTTATGGTAGAAATGGCAATTCAAGTTTAATGAAAGACAAATGGGACTAAATTAAAGAGAACCTTGCAACTAGAAAGAGCAGTTCAGGTTTCACACTATAGCTCTGGTATTAGTTAAGTTTATGAAGGTTGCTGGAAAGGGCCATGAAACCTCAAATGACCATTATGCTGCCCCATTTGACCTTAAGTTAAGGGATATATAAAGATCAAATTGGGACAAAGTTCACATCAAACCACCTAAAATTCTCCATTCTGTCGAGTTTATTCAAGGTTGACTTTGGTTTGCTCATGCTTTGATTGCTAGACCTAACAGATGAGGTCATGATAGCAGGATATTTGTCCCAAAGCAAAACTACTATTAGCTTTATAAAGAATTGCCTGAGTTCGCTTATGTAGAGGTAGCCAGTTGGGCCTAACAGGCATTTTGAGCTTTATAGATTTCTTTTGATTACAGAACCATCACAAGAAGAAGTTATATAAATCTAATAACTGGAAAGAATTTTGAGATCGCCTTCCTTCCAGTGCTTTCCCATTTCTCCCAAATGAAATCCTACTCCTTCACCCTGGCTTTAAGGCCCTTGGCGACGTCATCCTATAGCCACCCCTCAGATCCACCCTCTGCCTTTTTCACTCTGATTCCACCACAAAGGCAAATTGTCACATCTATGTTTCCATGGCAGACCAAACCTGCTGGGCACTCCCATGGGCATTTGCTACCGATAACACTCTCTTGTATTTGGGACAGGGGGCTGTTCTCTTTGCTAATCCTACCTCTCAGCCTCTTTTCTTAATCCCCAGGGAATAGCAGATGAGTTAATTGACCTCTTTGTGCCTCAGTTTTCTCTTTTTGTAAAATGTGAAGAATAACGATAACAGCTACCATGTAGGGTTATTGTAAATATTAAATGAGTTAATATATGTAAAGTATTTGGAGTAATATCAGGCTGCTGTAATAAGTTCTGGGTATGTGTGAGTTAATACCCACATCACACTATTCAACTTCATGCCTCATTTCCATTACCTTACACTTCTGCAGTGGGGTCTTTCAGCACAGATAAAGAATTTACTTTTCCTCTACTAAGTCCTATCTTTTGGCTTGGGATCATTTTTCTAAACTGGTGAGCCTTTTTCTAGACTCATTCATCCAATTTCCAGATTATTATCTTCAGTTTACTGTGGCATACCACCAGAGTTCTAATTGCGAATGATGGTTTTTATTGATTTAACAAACATATTAAGGGCTTGTTATGTGCTACGTTACTTAATGAATATGAGTGTGTGTGCACATGAATATTTAAGGCAGGGATATAATCTCCTCATCTCAAAAGTGCATATAGTTTTTAATAAGAGTGCAAATAATCTGAATGTTTAACTAAGTCTGAGATGAGACAGTGTCAGTGGGATACTAGCTGTGGGCAGAATTTGAAAGAATTATGACAAGGATCTAGCATGGGACATTGATGTTTTGGTATAGTTTCTATTAGAGAAACTTACAGAAATCATGCAAGAGAAAAAGATTAGTTTTATTTCTTATCTTATCCCTTAACGTTTAAAAATATTTAAATATATTATACCGTAAGGGCACGAGCAGACTGAGGTTAGCTTTGTTTAACAAAACAGGGCAGCCTGTGAAGCTTCGAAAAAAATCAAATATAGGACAAATCACAAGAAGGCCTATTTTATGCAGTAATAAACCAAGAGGTGATCCAGACAAAAATACTTGGTAGCTATTTCAAATTTATGTGCAGTCAAGGTTCTAGTTTGAAAATTCAAGCTTTGTGGGTAGGAAACTGTAAAATAAATACTTGTACATGAAACTAATTTAAATAAATTTATTTAAAAAATAAAAATAAATGCTTGTAATTTGATAGATTTAAAGTGTTTTAGAGAAGTTAGAACACAGAATGGAAGAAGGAAGTATGGGTGATACTCAGTGCTGTGAGGAAGAAAAGAAAGTGCTTTTGGTAACCAAAGGGCCTACACAAAGCAGCAATCCAGGAAGGATTTTAGCCTGCACTGCCCTGGACAGGAAGCATTTCAGGAGAGGTGTGAGCAAGAGATGCATGGCATTGTGACTGTGGCTCTACTACATCAAAGTCTGTAGTGTTTCAGGTAATGCAGAGGGTCCCTTTTGAATTATAATTCACAATAAATGTGGTGTGCTCGAGCTGTACAGCAAATCATGTCATGTTTTCTTTTCTGCAAGATGAAGGAATTGGAGCATATAATCTCTCACTGCTTTTGCATGTCTAGAATCTTAAGAATCCATCGGGATGACAGTCAATCCTAGTTCTCTTAAACATCATGTTGCCACTGTCAGAATATGAACTGGACAGATGAAAGGTCGGGGCCTGATTGATAACTCTTGGGTAATTACGCTGATAAAGGATGCTGATTGAAACTGGGGTACCTATAAAGAAAAGAAGCTGCAAGGTACAACCGTCCATGCATTCAATCAACATTTAGGCTTCCCTCCTGTATTCCAGGCACTGCACCGGGCACTGGGAATGCAGAACCAAATGAGATATGGTTTGCTCGGAGGAGCCTTCTCCGTGGAGAACGAATCAAGAAAATTGCCATTGGAAACCTGTCCTAGGGCATATGGCATATAGAGGCAGGGCAGCTACATCAGCCCGAGGTGTTCCTAGGCAGAGCAGAAAGTGAAGCTCAGACAGAGCAGTATCTCAGTTCCAAACAAGGCAAGAGGATTGTAGGAGCTTTCACTTGACTGGCAAAGGGGAGGCTTTTTAAAACAAGCCAAATAGTTATCCCTCTTTTAGGGAGACCCCGTGCCAGTTGATTCTACCAATTTTTTTTTTTTTAATGAACATAAATACCTAGGGGAAGAGAACTGATGAGGCTTCGAAAGTGGAGGAAGTCCCTCAAAGTGGCTGTATTTCCTAAAGGGCCCCCCAAAGGGCTGAACTACTTCCATCCAGGAGGTAAAGACTAAGGCAGAAAAAGGGTGCCGGAGGGCGCGTGTCTGGAGTAATTTCAGGGCTTTTTCTATCTTGTCTGATGTGGCGACAGGAAAGATTTGTTCGTTTGAATTTCAATTTAGGAGGTTTTTCTTTTCCCCTTTCCCCCCATCCAGCCACTCCGGTTTGGGTTTTCCATATGACTCATAATTCCTTCAGAAAGTGGAATCGAATTCATAAAAGTGGTGGATGTTGGGGGGGTGGGGCAGGCTGGGAGCCCCAGGGAGTCTTCACTACCCACATTCATACTCAGCCCCCGGCGTAAGCGGCGGCCCGGTGGGGAAATCCAGCCCGCGTCCGGGATGGCGGCTACTATTAAAGCCCGGGCGGCCCGGGCCCGGGAGCTGGGCGGCGGGCGCGCGGGG